ACGTGTAAGTGTTGAAGCTGGGACTCATCATGCCCGGTCCTGTTAGGCCAGGTCACTGTGCCGATTGGAGCTGGGCACCACTCCCTGGTTTGGTTCTAGGTGGTTGTTTTGCACATACTTAGTAATGTCTCTTAGTTCATTGCATAGTTTTGAGGTTTGCTTATTTTGTAAAATAAAAATGTTGATCTGTAGAGGATTTTCTGTTGCCTCATAATTAGGGAAAGTATGTAATTTAAATTCTTAAGCCCATTATACTGGCTTACTTATCACTCATGAGGACTCTGTATGTGAATTCGAGTCCACGTTCCCCCCAATTATACAGTTCCAGGGGAAACTGAGGTTATCATAAGAATACTTAGTGATATGGCAATTAAAAAACTAGTACCCTTTTAAATATCCCAGAATCTACTTTCCCCTCCGTCTTTGTTGGTCTCTTCCTGATTGTTATATTTCAAACAATATACTATAAATGCAATGCTTATGCCTGGGAACATGAATTTCTTATCTTGTAAAGGACGTAGAATTTCACCAATCCCTGAGAGTAATGTTATAGAATTGATCAATTACATATGAAATTATTGGAAAATGAGGAGTTAGACTAGTTATCAATTAGCAAAAAGATGACAGAAAGGATGACATGATACATACTTCAAAAAATTATATATCTCACAGGACTAAAGAAATGCCCTTGGGAAATTGATAAAGCTCTTGAATATTATACAGATGATGACCCCCTTTTTTTTCCTTAATTTTTATTGAATTTACTGGGATGACATTGGTTTGCAAAACCATACAGTTTTTAAGTGTACAACTCAATACAGCATTATCTGTACACTGCATCATGCACCCATCACCCCAAGCGAAGTCCCCTTCACCTCCATTCCCCCCCTTTGTCCACCTTCACATTCCCACCCTCCTTGCCCTCTGGCTATCACCACTCTGGTCTGTGGAAAATGACCCTCTTTGACTCTAGTACAAAACTCAAGTATGAAGTAAGAATGTAGTATTCTGCTGTCATAATTTTATTGGAAAGATTATGTAAAAGACCCAAACATTTAATTTATTCTTGTTCTAAGAATTTGCATATAGTTAAATAAATGTAAGAAAGGCTTATTTTCATGATTTTTAGTTTTTTAGATAAATACTCAACCTTTTCTTACCCTTGTACAATGAAATGTTGGTATCTGTTTTAAGAAAATTACATTTCAATTGCTGTTATCCTTTACCAGTTATCTTCTGATAATGAAGACCTCAATTTATCTAGAGCTGTTATAGTCCTGCATTGGGGTTTGATGGGGACATAGAAGTTCTGTAATTCATAGATTTCAGTGTGTGTGAAGGAGTATCTCCTGTTTTTTAAGGACCATGGAGTTACAAAATGTACTACAATTACTAACTGATTGGGCGAGGCTAAGTTGTAGCTTGAGGGGACTGAACCTGATCCCCCAAGTTTGAACTCGCCTCAGACTTTACATTCTCTCCATCTGCTTACTTTGGGATAAGCACTGCAAGTGCCTAACTCGTCTCCTAGTCTACATTCCTGGTTTTCTACAATTTACCTGCTCTCTACCAGTGAGTCTCCAGTACTAAAATTTCTAACAGGCAATACTTTGAGGAAAAAGGTGAGGAAACTAAAGTCAAAGTATTGAGTTTCTCATGAAGGTAAATTTATTGATTTCAAAATTACTGGCTTTGTTTTAAGATTATGTTTTCCTACATTATTAGTATTAAAATATGCTTTCATGTAATGATAATTTTTCAACAGCCTTATTGACAAAAATTTAAAACCTGATCCCCTACTTTATTTTATTTTTTATGAAACTCCAAGAGTTTTGGAAACTGGCCACCTCAGAGGTCTTTCTGAAATCTTACCTAATGATGCCCCTCTCTCGAGTTCAGCCCTTCAGGGTGGAACTGGGGCTTTACACCATACGTGCAGTCAGGGTTTTTTCTAGACAGCACAAACTGCCGTCGTTATGTGTTTTCCCCTAAATTTTCAAATACATAAAGATACTCTTAGGATGATGATCAATTTATTTTGAAAGTTTGGCCTTGTGTTATTGTGTTTTTTGCAATTATATAATTCCTTTCATGTGAGGAGGTCATTAAAAAGCCTCATCAGTAAAAGTAAAACTATAAGGGGGAAAAGGGATTTGACAATATAATAATTAAATTTTTGATACAGTATGAAAACATATAAACCACATTGAAAGATAAACATGTGGAAAATATATTTAACACACTATTTGAAAAACAGGTATATAGTTGTTACTTTTAAGATATTTTATAACTTAATACTAAAAATAATACTGCAAAAGGAAAATCAGTAAGAAACATGAATAGCAATTCACATAAAAAGTATAATCTTTCACTTAATATAAACAAGTTAATCTTCACTAAAAAATAAAAGTTTCAACTTAAGACAATACAGTTTTGCCCTGGCTGGTGTGGCTTAGTGGATTGAGCGTGGGCTGCAAACCAAAGGGTCGCCAGTTCAATTCCTAGTCAGGGCACATGCCTGAGTTTCTGGCCAGGTCCCCAGCATGGGGTGTGAGAGAGGCAATTACACATCGATGTTTCTCTCCCTCTTTTTCTCCCTCTATTCCCCTCTCTCTCTTAATATAAGTAAATTTTTTAAAATTTAAAGAAAAATACCTAGGGGTGTGAGTAATATTTGGCTGTTAGGATGTGTATCATAGTGTTTTGTAACAGTAAAAAATTGCCCTGGCTGGTGTGGCTCAGTGGATTGCACACTGGCCTGCAAACTGAAGGGTCCCTGATTCGAGTCCCAGTCAGGGCATGTGCCTGGGTTGCAGGCCAGGTCCCCAGTTGGAGGGGTGTGTGAGAGGCAACCAGTGTTCCTCTACATTGGTATTTCTATCCCTCTCTTGTCTACCTCCCTACCCCTCTCTCTAAAAATAAATTAAAATCTTTAAAAAACAGTAAAAAATTGGAATCAATCTAAACATTGAACAATTGCATATTAGTTTTAAAAAGAAAAAAGATTATGGTTCATTCATACAGTGAAATGCTTTCTGTAGCCCCAGCTGGTGTGACTCAGTGGACTGAGTGCCCACCTGAAAAACAAAAGGTCACTAGCTTGATTCCCAGTCAGGGCACACACCTGAGTTGCAGGCCAGGTCCCCATTTGGGGACATACGAGAGGCAACTGATTGATGTATCTCTTGCATTGATGTTTCTCTCCCTCTCTGCCCCCCCTCCCTTCTCCTCTCTCTAAAAATAAATAAAATCTTAAAAAAATTATTTCTGTCAATAAATCTTTAGTGACATGGCAAAATATTTATGAGATAGTATTAGGTTTGAAATATAAGAACAGCAATTATTTTTGGTGGTGGATTTTTTATTAAAAAGTATTTTCAATGGGCATGTATTTGTAATTAAGACATAACTATTGGGAATCATTATAAAATAAATCTGTGATATATTCTCTACTTGTCTCTGCTTTTCCCATACACAGCACTCCTAACAGCCTCTCAGAGTACATCACGCTTACATGCCTCTGTGGGAGCTCCTCATCATCTTCTAGAGTCAGTTCAAGTGACACCACCGTGAAGTCTTTCCTAACTACTTTCCATTGCTATTTCACATAATTATTTCTATAATTACTTATGTGTATTGATCATGTCTTTTTCCATCAGGCAGTGAACCCTACCTCATTCATTCATTTAATAAATATTTCTGAGTGTTTATTATGTGCCTGGCCCTGTGTGTGTTGGGTACTGCAGATCTACCATGAACTGTGTAGATGGGATCCTCCTGCCTTCAAGGGGTTTATAGCCTTGCAGAGTTATAGCCTTGTAAAATGCAATGTAATATTAAGCTTTGTAATAGAAGTGTAGAGTGCTTTGAAAGATTAGAAGATTTGTAGATCTACCCCAGGCTGGTTAGAAAGAGAGGGCTTCCTGGAGAGGAACAGTAGCTGAATATTGAAAAGAAAAGTTTAGATAGGTCGAGGGGTAGGGGGGAAGTGGGTTCGGGTAGCAGAAATGGCCTAAAGAAAGGCCTGCAATTTTAAAGTCATGTTAAGTTTCAGGGAGTCATTATGGTATTTGTGGATTTTAAGATTGATTTGTGATAGAAAATAATTATGTATAATTTTATCTTGAAAGAAGCTCCAGAATTCATTTCTTCTGCAAGAGTTTAGGAAACTATATTAAACAGCATATGTTAAAGAAAGCTTCCCAGTGTTGAATTGGGCAGAAATTCAAGTGTGATTGTTAGGTTTTTTAAGTGATTTTTTTAAAGTATTTGTATAAAATATATTCTCACTAAGGATTGACAAATTAGTGTGAAATAATTAAAAGTTCAAATTAGGGAGTATTTTAATGGTCTATCTTATAATCTTGACTGGTCCTAATAAAATGGTGCTAAGTGAGATTATTTGGGGAATGCCTTCGAATTAACATATGAAAATGATGGCATTGTAATACCCATTTTTGTATGTAAATGTGCTAAATGTAAAATAATGGCATTTTAATATCAATTTTTGTGTATAAATGTGCTAAATGGAAAAAGATGTTACTTGTAGCAGAATAAACACTTCTCATAATTTCGAACCCTTCACATTTAACATGTCTTCCTTAGCAATCAAGTCTTCAAAACCTCCCTGTCTCTCTGCCTGCTGTCAAATCATTTCTCACCATTTACGTTTCCTTATACAGATTTGGAAGTTCTTCTTTCTCTTTAGCACTGTACTCCAAATACCCATCCCTATTTTCAGTTCCAAATGAAAATCAGTATTGTAAAGCCAATGGATACGATTGCAGTGTGGCCCTCATTAAATGAGTTTCTTTCCTTGTGATTGCGTGAATTACACTTATTATTTATTGTATTTATATATATTGAATCATTGGGTTTACACAGTAAATTTGCAGTCTTTATTTATTTATTTATTTATTTATTGGATTAGGTAATAAAGAAACTCTCTTATTTCTTAAATAAGAGATTAAATAAACCAGTTTTTCTTTTCTGCTTTGTAGATTTCTTGATAACCGGCTATTTGCTACCTGCTCTGATGACACTACAATAGCACTATGGGACCTGAGAAAACTGAACACCAAAGTATGCACTTTACATGGTCACACTAGCTGGGTGAAGAACATCGAGTACGATACTAATACAAGACTCTTAGTAACATCAGGATTTGATGGAAATGTCATTATTTGGGACACCAACAGGTTCGTGAATAGGAGATCATATTAGGATTATAAACAAAATTTTTATAAGATGGTAAACAAATTAAGTGTTCTGTCTGAGCTTTTATATTTCTTTAGGAGAAAGACTTTTTGTGAAAAACAAAAACTGATCCTATCTTTTGTCACTTGCACTTCATTATAGATTGCAGCTGAAAAATAAATTGGAGAAAATTGTACAGAAAGGAGACCAAGTAGTATACTTAATGATGAAAAATTGTTTATGAGTTGAGTTTCCCGAACTTAAGGAATTTAAGAAAAAAAGGTTTTGTTATTTCCTTTGTGGAATTGAAGTGCTTTTCACTCATTGGTTCTTCCATTCTAAATCTATTTATTTTGTCATTTTTTGTACTGTGTTTTCAAGTATTAAAAGAGTGGTAGTCCCTCTCTCGGAGTAGTGCTGATTCCTAGGAGAATGTCTGCAGATAGTGTGTGGTACAGTTTGAGTTGTCACCGTGGGAGAAGGGAGAACGGGGGGGAGGGGGGCTTCTGAACATCCTACAGTGCATGGGACAGTTTGCACAGTGGACCAGTTGTCTCATCTAAAGTGTCAGTAATGCCGCTGTTATGAAACACTTTATAGTTTTTTATTATGATTTTATGTACTTTTTAGAGAGGGGAGGGAGGAAAAGAAACATCAGTCACTTCTCTCAAACCCCCAGCTGGGGACCTGGCCCACAACCAGGCATGTGCCCTGACTGGGAATCAAACCAGCAACCTTTCAAATCCCAGGCTGGCGCTCGGTCCACTGAACCACACCAACTAGGGCTGAGCACACTTTAATAAAATGTCTCCTTATAGAGAAATTGATTATTTAAAGAGTTGAAATTTGAGAAGTAATTAAAATATATCTTTTGCTAGCTATGGTGAAATAATATAGTGATATACCAGGATCATTTCTGAAATATTCTTTACAGAGGTCATATGTAAAAAGAGGAGATTTTCTTAAAGATTTCTATCTATGCATGTTCTTTGAGCCAAGGATAGAGCTACCGATTATTTTTAGACTAAGACAAACATCCCTGCTAAAATTTAGAAATATATTTTTAAAAATATTTTTTAAAATATTTTATTTATTTATCTTTAAGGGGAAGGGAAGGAGAGAGGGAGAGAAATATCAATGTGTGGTTGCCTCTCATGTGTCCCCCACTGGGAACTGGCCTACAACCCAGGCATGTGCCCTGACTGGGAATTGAACTGCGGCCTGCACTCAATCCACCGAGCTACACCAGCCAGGCCTGGAAATATGTTTTTAATTTTAGAAATAAAATTTGATCAGGAATATAAATGGTAACTTCCAAATTAGGAGAAGAATAAACATGATCAATCCAATAGAGGCAAAGAAGATGGGGGGGTCATGTATAAAAAACCAAGTGAATTAGGAAGCACAAAAATAGGCAAGTAGTATAAATATCAATAATCAATAAATGTATATGGACTAAACTAGTCAGTTAAGAGATAATGTTAGTTTGGATTATAAAACAAAACCCAACTATATGTTTTTTGTAAGGGATACACCCAAAACATACAAACACAAAGTTTGAAAGTAAAATCATGGGAAAAAATAACAGGCAAATAGAAATAAAAGAAAAACAACTGTATCTATATTAATAGCAGACAAAACAGAGTTTAAGGCATGAAACGTTTTTAGTAAGAAAAAGGAACTATATTAAAAGGTTTATTTTACTAGGAAATAAAGTAATTCTTATCCTATATGTACCTAATAACATAGCCTCAAATAATAAAAAGCAAAAATGGACAGAATTACAAGAAAAAAGTCAGAATTCCCATCTTAGTGGAAAATTTTAACATCATTCTTCCATTTAGTAATAGATAAAATAGATCAAAATTTAGTAAGTCTAAAGAAGATTTTAATCTTATTAATAAGCTTAATCTGTTAGGCATATTTAGGATTGTGCTCCCAACAAATAGTGAAAACTTACTCTGAAGCAGACTTAGAACATGCACGAAAATGAGCATGTACCGAACTACAGAGTAAGTATCAGCCAATATCAAAGAACTATTGTTACACAAACCATTTTCCCAGACCTCAATATAGTTTAATTAACACAGGTAACTAAAAATTCCCGTATTTGGAGACATATAAACTCACTTCCTAAATAGTTCATGGATCAAGGAAGAAATCATAGTTAATTTGGAAGATAGACTGAAAATTAATGAGCTAAGCATCTTACTCAGAAAAACTGCCTTTCAGGGACGGTGCATCCCTAAAAGAAGATGCTTGTTAACCCAAATTAATGTGTAATTTGATGGGGGAACAAAAACTGGAACAAGATAAAAAAGGGTAAACTTGATGAAAGTAGATGTATGGAAATGATAAAGACAAAAGTAGAAATTCATGACCATTGAAAATTAAAATGAAGATTTTTGAAAAGACTACTTTGAAAAATCTAATTAAGTATGTTCTCTGGTAAGATTAATCAGGAGGAAAAAAAGACAAATAAATCTTAGCAATTAAAAAGGAGACAATGAAAAATATAGAATAAGATTATATTTGAAAACTGATAATAGTTAAAAAATAAACTGACCATGGAAGAAATAGAAGAGTGAAATGAAACTACTACCAGGACTGTATTTAACCAGTGTGCACTGGTGGAACGACAGGGGCTGTTCAAAATTGAACTTCTCTAGTAATTGATGAATAGCTATCCTGAATCATCCCCACGTGTCATATCCTGTCACCCTCTGTCAAACCAGCCCCTCTTGTAGGGATATGTCCCTCACAGTCTAGTAGCTGAAGTCCCCCTTACACAATAAACTAAATCCAGGACCCAGTCCCATCACTGCCATCAACATCGGTTTTGACTGGCTAGTTTTCATGCGGTGTTGGTTATTTCAGTATTCTTAATATCACCTCTGCCGTAGCCATTAATGGAAAAATGGGAAAAATCAATTAGAACCTATCTACTAGTGAAAAAGCCAGCCTGTACCTGGCTGGTGTGGCTCTGGATTGAGTGCTGGCTTGCCGACCAAAAGGCTGCTGGTTTGATTCCCAGTCAGGGCACTTGCTTGGGTTGCAGGCCAGGTTCCCAGTTAGGGGCGTAGATGTATCTCTTGCACATGGATGTTTTTCTCCCTCTGTCCCTCCCTTCTCCTCCCTCTAAAAATGAATAAATAAAGCCTTAAAGAAAAAAGCCGGCCTGTCCGTTTACAGGTGACTTCTATGAAATATAAATACAGAACATTACAATTTTATTAAACTGTTTAGAAAAAGAGGAAATTCCCCTTGCCTCACCTATGGAGATAGAATGATCTTGATACCTGTGCTCAACAAAGATAATATTAGAATAAGAAAAAAAGAAAGGTCAGATTGTAATATGAATATAGATATAAATATTCTAAATAAAAGGAAATTGGATTCTCTAAGCTGTTGATCAAAATATGACCAAGTTGGCTTTATTCAAGAAATTAAACATGATTTATCAATAGAAATTCTGTTGGTGTCATTTATCATATAACAGATTAAATAGATTAATCCATATGATTGTTTCAGTCAAGGGATAAAATTCAGTTTTCAGTCCTACTTAAAAACGAAAGAGGGGCTATCATTACCAACTTTACAGAGACTAAAAGGATTATAAAGGAATATGGTGAACCACTTTATGGTGATAAACTAGACAACTCAGATAAACAAATACCTAGGGAGTTACAAATTAAACTGACCCAAGAATAAGTAGAAAATCTATAGACCTACAGACCTATAGCAAATAAAGAAATTGAATTGGTGCTATTAAGAATCATCCCCAGTCTTTCACAAAGTTTCATGAAGTAGAGGAGAGAACACTTCCTAACTCATGTTATGAGGCTGGTATTGCTCTAATACCAAACCAGACAAACATAAGAATAGAAAACTACAGACCAATATTCCACCAAAGAAAAGATTCAAAAACCTTCAACAACACACACATGAAATATTATGTCATGACCAGTTGGATTTATCCCAGGAATACAGGGTTGGTTTAACATCCAAAAATCAATTAATTTATTATATTGCTAAAGGTCAAAACCAATATATATGATCATCTCAATAAAAGTAGGAAAGCACTTAATAAAACCCAACATCCATTTTTGTGATAAAACTAGAAATCACAGGGAACTTTCTCAACCTGATAAAATACAGCTCTGAAAAACCTATGGCTAAAATCACACTTAATGTTGAAAAATTGAATATATTTCCCTAAGATTGGGAAAAAGGCAAGGATGTCTACTTCCACCACTTTTATTTAACCTTGCACTGGAGATACAGTTGCACTGGAAATGCAAAGAGGCAAGAAAAAAAATAAATGACAGGCATCCACTTTGGAAGGAAAAAGTAAACCGTCTTCATATACAGAAGATATAATATTATATATTTAAAAATCTTAAGAAATAAAGAACTACTAGAACTTATAAAAAATTCAATCCCTGGCTGGTGTAGCTCAGTGGACTGAGTGTAGGCCTGCGAACCACAGGATTGCGGTTCGATTCCCAGTCAGGGCACATGCCTGGGTTATAGGCCAGTTCCCAGCAGGGGACACATGAGAGGCAACCACACATTGATATTTCTCTCCCTCTCTTCTACCCATCCCCTCTAAAGATTAATAAATAAAATCCTTTAAAAAAAAGAGAGAGGACTGTTTAACGTTTATTGTAATACTGATTTGGTGATAGTGTACTTCTTTAGCTTTAAGAAAAATTCAGCGAAGTCAAGATTAATACACAAAATCAGTTGTATTTCTACTAATAAACAACAAGCAGTCCAAAAATGAATAAAGAAAACGTTCCATAATAGCATAAAAAAGAGTAAAATGCATAGGAATGAATTTAACAAAATAAATACAAAACTTGCACACTGAAAACTACAAAACATTGCAAGATATATAAAGAGATGTGAATGAATAGGAAACTTTCCATGTCCATGGACTGGCAGGCTCAGTACATTGGGACGGTAATTCTCTCCAAGTTCATCTATAGATTCAATGCAA